GTTGTGTCATTTTTAGAGATTTTTACGTATTTGCTTTTATCACTGCACGTTTTTTCGGACATGCGTTTTAAACAGGAAAGCTCGCGAGAATATCGAGTACCTTCTTTTCACAAATTCATAAATTACATTTTCATAAATTATATTCATCGTTATTTCCAACGGCTGTCGCGCGAAACAAAGAAGAAATAATTTTGTTAGTAGATTTGCATAATATAATATTTATCTTTATATATATATATATATATATTCGATAAATATATTATTGACAATCAATGGAATATTTCTAAAAAAATCGGTGTGTATTAAAAAAAACTAAACTAAACTTTTTTTAATTAAGAGAGAAAAACATTAAAATTAATAAACAGAGGAAGATGACGGTTTTATATATAAAATATGATACTTTTTGTATGCCATTGTTGAAGACCCTTTTGTTGAATATTGATCGTGGAAATGACAGCATAATACAACATCTACTCGATTTTACAAAAACAGTGATATTGGGTAATTTAAATTGTTCTCATTCAGATTCTATTGAGCGCATAATAAAAGAAGCACGATAGAATAACATAATGAATATGTGTACAAATGTAATATAAAGAGAACACAAAATTGATATCGAAAAAATATACATAATTTAGCCCAGACAGAGGAGAAATTACATAATTTTCATATTATTTTTAATACGACTTTTAAAATGCTTAATGCATTATTTTAACCGTAGAAAAATGCAAGTTTTAAATTCTGGGTAAAGCACAATGTTAACCACCGGCATCATCTGTTTGGTTTCACAAAGGCGTCCTTTATCAAGTTAGCTCTTTTGTGTCACTGCCCATGGCAGAAACTTCTTTCTTAGCCACTTTTTATGAGATGCTGATGAAGCAAAATTTTATTAAAACGATGATAATCGTTAAGACCGTGCTACCGGCTGTCAGACCATGGTAATATAATGGCTATGCATGCCATGTTCCCAGGATGCGCTTTAAGTATAATATAAAAAGTATTTAAAATCTCTTCCCCCAAGCGAAGGAACGCTTTTCGTTAAAAAAGATATTTAAAGGTCCGCTTTTCTAACCGCGTATTCTCTCAAGATTCATTCGGCTATTCACTACGTTCAATTTTGTGGAATGAAATATCAACAGTTAATTGTATGGGAAAACAAAGCGGCGCGCTACGTGCTTTCATATTCTCTGGATGATCCATTTAAATGATGTCTGTATGCGAAAACTCGCTCGACCGCAGATGCGCTTTTTACCGTCTGCAAGAAACGCTATCTTCTTTCTGCTAACAATCTCTCAATTACCGCAATGGTACAAAGAAAAATATTGCACTGAAGATTACTTCAACTTCCGCGAAGGTATGCGAACTTGATAAAATCCGAAACGAATTTTCCGCGAGGTTTTTGCACGATATGGCTGTCAGCGTATCCAGTATATATCCCGGAGGACTTAAGTCCTCCTCTGACAGCCTCGCGTCCTTTTGTTCGTAAAGAGCGGAACCCAATAACCGTGAAAGGAGATTAAGCTTAACAAAGTGTCCTCGAGTTTACCAAAGCAACGAGTTAAGCGGAATCCCCAACTCGTTGTCGAGGCTACCCAAGACGGGACTTTGGCAAACTCGCGAACTCGTTAACGAGCGAGAGGGGCCCGTTGACCGCGGCGACCTCGATTTGCGAACCGAACAACGCGACGCATTTTTGCGACTCCAAGCTTTTAATCGAATAAGTTTCGCACCTAAGAGTCAAACTATGAAAATGAGATTTCGAGCTTCTTGTTTTGTTATAAAATTCTTCACTAGCTTCTCGAGCCAAATTTTCCTCTCGGTTTAAAAAGCGAGAAAAGGAGCTCAGCTCGAGTTACAAAGAGCTCAACTAAAAAGCAAAATAAACGTTGTTCATTATTTCATTCTTTAGAATAAACTTTACTCGAGCGGGACTCCGACTTAAAAAAATCAATGCGAAAATCTGCATGTCGTATTTTAAATTATTAATCTTCCGCCTCCACTTTCATTCATTGTTATTTAATCAAAAGGATTACGAAAAGGTACGTATCAAAAATGTCTGTATGTCAAAGTCTAGCTGTCTCTTAAAAAAAACTAAAGAGCCGAGATCACACGGCGAGTTCTGAAAAGAGCACTGTACTCCGCTGTCCACGATGAGCTGCCATCCGCGAGAACTTTTTAACGAGACTTTCGTCGAGTTGTGGTTTTAACCCCAAAAATTTGACGGAACTCGTTGGACAGACTCTGAATGTGTGCGTCGCAGACTCGTCAACGAGATTACCGTTAACCTGCAACTTCGGCTGAGGTAGCCTCGAGGAGTTGTTTCGCTCAAAACTTACCCCTTATTGGCGAGAGTTACTCCTGTGGGCTCGGACGCGCAACGAGATTACCGTTAACCCTGTAGTTAACCGACGAGATAAATCGATTCCGGTCGAAATCCTCTTTTCGCTAACCCGTTGCAAGTATTTAAATATAAATATATTGTCAATGATTTTATTTATTTAATATTATTATTATCTGATATTTTCATAAAAAAATGTATTGTTATTTGAAACATACAAACATTTTTATATTTACCTTTAAGAAGCACAAGGCTAAAAAATCAAATTTTTAAGTTATCGATTTATAATTAATTTAATTTTACTTTATTGCACTTAAAATAATAAAATTTATAAAAAAAAATTATCGAAAACTTATACCTCCTTCTTTTTTTAGAACATAATCTATTTTAAAAGTAATATTTATCTTATAAGATTTATGTACTTGTAATGAATTGAATTTTGAGTAAACTTTTTTTTTTATAAAAAGCGATTTATTCAACATCCCTTTATTTCTCAAGTACAAATTTATCGACAATTTTATTATCATTTAAGATGCACCAAAGGTAATACATGTAAAAACAAGCAAATTTTTATATTATTTATATAATATAATTTAAAGTAATATCTAAGTATGCTTTAACACAAGTTCTCAGGATAATTTTCGAGATTTCTGAAACTATATAAATGAGAGAAGACAATTATACCAACTTCAACTCCGTGTAATGCAATGGAATGCACAAGTGCGATGGAATCACGCGCAAAATTAATTCCTGACAACAGATTGCATGAAATTTTTCATTGTGACGTTCACGTAGACGGTGATAAATTTATCCCAAGGAATTGGATGGCTTTGTCATGCATAAAGAAGATTTTCTTCTCTAAAAGAGAATATCGTGCGAGTCATGTATTGTTGCGCGAAACACGTGCGCGATTACTTCTGCATTGAGAAATCTTTTGTTGTTCCGAAAGACAGAAGCTCGCATGATCAGGAGCTCGCTGAATTTTAGCATGTAATAATGAAGCGAGTATGACAGCCGGCAGAGGAGACAGGGGGGAGAGAAGGGGGGGAGAGAGAGAGAGAGAGAGAGAGAGAGAGAGAAGAGAGCACACACACAACTCAATTCATATATAATTAATTCTCACTTAGCCGGCGGCCGACATTAATTATATGTCCCCGACCGACGCTCGGGCTATTCATACATATCTAATTAGTTTGGCCTCGTGCAGGGAACTTATAAAGTGCTGCAAGCTTTGCCATATAAACTTCCAATGGCCAGTCGACGATGCGAGGCCTCATAATTCGTTGATATCCCCTTCATTTTGGCTAATTATTTAATGAACTTTAACAAGAAGCTCGAAAAACCTTCCGAGTTGAAGGAACGTAGATTAAACATTTATTTCGCACGTGAAACGATGACAGCGACATTTTTGAAAAAATATTCGTAATCACAGACAATCAAAAGTATGTCACGGTTTTTTTTTTGTTTGTTTGTTTGGACAAAGCGCGTTCAAAGATATGAAACGGAAAATGCAAGCAAATAACGAGACGGGATATGAAAGGTTGCTCGATAACAATAAAAAAAAACAAAAAAAAAAATCGTAAAAATTCATACGGCTCAAAGCGAATTGATACGTGATACTATATAAAACGAAAGACGGAAAATTACACTCCCGAGATAGAAAAAGTGTCACTCTTGTCGGCGCGATCATCAAAACTTCTGAAGGGAACTCCGCAGAAAGTGAAGTATGGAAATTTAAAGCAACCGGGGGGGTCGTTCCGCGATCTTCGCAACTTTCGCCGTCGATTCTCGGCTGCAAACGGGCGACCGGTAATTGCGATCTCGATATGTTTCGAAGAACTTCGTCGTCGAAGTTAGCGCGAATCGGCTCTTCCGTTCCGTTCCTCGATGCCCCGCTCCCTTCGTTCCAGCCAGCTTTAAACGTTAATCTTGATATCAGTTCAGAAAATTCAGTTCAGAAAAAAGTTTTACATTCACGCGCGACAATTTGTACGAGTAGTTTGTCCTCTCGACGTTTCGCCATCGCATCAGCTGGTTTGCTGCCGGATTATAAATCGACAAAAGGGAGTATCCTCGCGCTAGAATAAATTCTCACACCCATTTTAATGAATTATTTTAATAAATAGTTTCTCTGGAATATTTGATGATTTTTGTACGCGTATGTGTATGTGTGCGGAAGAAACACAATACGTTTGCATGACGCACCGGATGAGGAGAAAAAGCGCGCATTCACATTCTCCGGCAGAGATATTTAACTTGCGTTGAGGGCGATTTTACAGAAACATGCCTTCGCTAGATAATTAGACCATCGCGTTTCTTCAACGAGCACTACTTGCACGTGCAACTGAACCGGATTTTGGACTGGCAACTAAGGCGGACTCGTATTTGTCAATAGTTAGCCGTTACTCACCTAGGTAGAGTAGCTCAAAACTCGGCCAAACTACTAAGTACATGTACCCTAAATAATTGGTTTGCATAACGCCAACACGTGAAGTCAAACAATAAATAACTTGGTTGCAAACAAATTTTGCTTATAATTTATGTTCATTGTTTGAGTTTACAAAAACGTGAGAAATAAATGTCTCTTCTTGTATGTAATATATTTTTAAGCATTCTATATATCTTATTTATATAATATCTTGAAAAATATTTAAATACTCACTTGGATGCTCAGGTTCGTCACTGTTCGCATCGTTATCGAAAGAAGTAGTTCCTTTCGACTGTGCACTGGCGAACGTCGATATCTCGATGCACGTCACCACTAACAATATCCGCAGCATACTGACGAACGTCTCTTAGTCGATTTCACCCTCGAACCATCCTAACGTTGTTTGCGTCTCATTCGATTCTCAGATGTTACCCTGTTAACAAATAATGTTTTTGTCAGTAAGAGAAAACCATAAGTAAAATATGCTTTGTTATAAAAATATTTAAATTTTGATGTCAGAATTTCCTACTTTCAACCTTGCATAGAACTTTTAGCTCTATTTTAATAGTTTAGATCTATTTTAAAAATTAAAATAAATAAAATTTCACAATTCGAATTCTTATACACTTATACTTTATATCGTATCATAAGTTATTCATAATTGTCATAACAGTGTATATAACTCCAAATTTTTTCTCTCGTGGAATTATTAAAAATTACAGTGAGAAAAACGACAAAATTTCACGTGAAATATTTTTATTAAAGCTTTGATTTTTCAAAGGGATATTGTTGTTTCGTCAGTTCAAGGAAAGTAAGATTTTATGACGTTGAAAGCTGCAAATATAGCTATGGCATTTCGCATTTCTGGATGGGCGACATTTTATTCGAAATCGTTTTCAGTGAAATTTCACGCTGCGATAGCATCGACACATGTAGCTGGCATTTAGCAGCAACGGCCACGTTTGATAACGCGTGACGCGTTTATTGTTAATTTCACCGCCGCGTTTGGCGCGTGCTACGATATCGGATTAACAGCGATCGACGGTTTATCAGGGTAGGCTGATACAAAACCAGGGTCAATCGATCATTTTCAAACAACACACATCAAAAATGCTGTCAAGTATTTTGCCCTTTCCGGAAATGTTCACAATAGATGTTCTTCCAGCAGAATTGTTACATGAATGCGATTCAAAATTTTCCTGTTGCGTTTTCCGGCTAATAAACTGCATTCCATTTAATCTTCATCAATTCAAGTTTTATTAATTTTAATTAATATCGATTTTAATGTCATGTCAGTATACGATAACATTTGAAAAAAAAAAAAAAATTTTTAAACAGGAATCTCGAATAAACTAAACGGGTGACCGTCGTATAATGTTAAAGTCACGTCAACGAAATATCTTTACGAAATATCTTTACGAATTTAATTTCTTTTTTTTTTTAGTTGTTATCCATTTTTGACAGGTTCGAAGGTATCACGATAACTTTAAAAAATCAAAAAGGTTTGTTTACCTGTAACAGAAAAAAAATAATCGTATTCTATTGCTTTGTATTTGCGCAACGTGTTCAATTTTTCTGGAATTTTGGAGAGTTACCGAGCCCCTCTTTGAAGTTGTTTCAACGATGGAAGCCCATCGCTGGAAGCTTACGCGTTCCGTTCTTCCGTTACGGCAGAAGGATAACATCGTTGCGAAAAAGCGGAACAATGACGGGACTTTTGCGGGATTCTCGAGGGAAAGGGGAGCAAAGCCGCGAATCGACAGGCGTACAATCGATCGCGAAATATCGACCAATTATAACGAAAAATTGTTCACGTCTCGCGATGCATTTTTCCTCGTGATAGATTTCGCGCCTCGTCGAAGGGAAGATCATGAATATGAAAGTAATGACGGTGCGCGGAGAGAAAAATGAGATCTCAGATCTTCCGAAGCTCCACGCACATATCGTGAAACTCGTGGGAAATCTACAAAACGCGGCAGAATGAATGGTATCCTTTGTGTAGGGACAATGCAGCTTAGTCGCGCCGAGCTTATGGACCAGTTTATCAAGGCAGTGTCTTATCGTTTAGATTACGTCATTATTCGACATTAATTATTCATGAATTGTTCGCAATAAATAATCGTAATTAATCAACAAAGATCAAATTCTCCGGCTGGCGCGTATAGACCGAAATTGCAATTTTAAATAAAGCAAGAAGGAAGTATTTTTATAACGATTGAATTTTATTTAATTTAATTAAAATCTAAAATAAAATTCAATCTTAATATACTCGCATTATAGTCAGTCTCATTTCTTTTGGAAACAAACTTCAACTTTAGAAATTGCGTGTTCTAAATGCTTTGTTAGTTTATCTAAAGCACGGGAGATAAACGTCGCTCTTGTGTTTGCGTGATCACTTTGAATTTCAGAAACTGGTTTGCATAATTCTCGTGCTCTTACAACGTCATAACTACGGTGTTTTTACAGTAGATCAAATCAACATTTCCAATTCTATTGTAACGTTGATTTGACGGCAGGCAAAGAAATAAATGTTTCGCGATATATTACCACTTGCTAAAAAAATAAATTTCATGTACCGATCGAAGTTTGATGTAAATGCGATTACGCTGTGGACGAAAAACCCGCGGATATGTCCAACGCGAATAAACAAAGTAAAATAAACAAAGTCGCGAAAAATCGGTGCCAACACGCATGAAATAACATGCACTGTTTATCTACGGTTGTAGGAACGACAAAGAGAATTTGTTACACGTTCTAAATTCTTTTACATGGTCTTATGAAAATATAAATATAATATTATGTAGCTATAATATATAAAAACACAAAGAATAACGCAAATTCATACATCTTAAATATTAAAGATAGATTTTTTTTAAGTATAAAGTTTAAATTAAGTATAAAGTGCAGCAAATAATCATTTTTTTCGTTCTTGATGCAAAGATTAATAAAACGATACGTTAATAAACGTGCCTTCCTCGAAGTTTTCTTTACAATCTTTCACAACTTTTTCTCACAGAACTGGTGGAAGACAAGACGCAGAATCGCAACGTCTAATAAAGAAACGATTAAAGACGGCTCCGTGAAAATCGAGTTATTGAAAATTGACCGGATAGAGATGGAGGGGTGAGGAAAAAATAAAAAAAAGCGAGATTTAATTTTATACGGTCGATTTAGCCGAAGGGCCGCTGGTCGCTAGATTTAATCGAAGATTCTTTCTCATCGACGATTCGCTATCCTCGATCTTTACTCGCTCTTTCCCATTTTTTTTTTTTACCGCCTCATCCAAGGATGGCACGTGCAATCTAATGACGCTTCCGGTCATTCCCGACGCGTTGTAAAGCGACGAGCTACATCCCTCGAGGGAGAAACGCGAGATCGATGTTTTAGTGAAGGAGCAACGTCACTTTTTCCTGCCGACGAGTCTTGCGAGCGTGATGATTTCACGAGGAGAATACGGGAAGGATAATACAGACTAAAGTCGTGTTACATCTAACGAGGGATATCGTAGATAACAGAGAACGAGATCTGCATCCCTCGCGGCTGAATTTTCGGTTACGACGATTAGTTTAACTAGCCGGATAAGATTTTAGCGCGTAGTCGTAACCAATGATATATATAATCATCAAAATAATAATCACCCTTCGTACTTTTCTCATCTCTTATAGTATCTTATTGCCGACGATGAGATAATATAAAAAATATATATATTATCATCTAGAAAAAATATATGTTAAATTATCACGACCAGCAGCAAGATTTATCTATCTTACATCTCCGTGTATATCTTGCATATCGGTTTTGCATTTTTTAATAACGAAACGTCGTTTCTGATAAAATATGCACAGTTTTTCCGATACTACCAGCGACATAGCGATTATTTCTATCGATAATCCCATTGGTTATCGATAACCACGTTGCCTTTTGTATTGTTTGCTCGAATTAACTTTCGTCTGTAACTCGAACGAAATTTCGATGTGGTATTTTTAATGCGCAAGTTTATTTCTCATTTTTCGAGATAAAGCGAGTTTCGATGCGCCTCGGGTAATAATTGAAATTCCTTTCATCTCGATCCGACTCTCGTTGCTTTACTTCTCGTATTTTTACGCCCCGAGCAGAACGAACTTCCTGCTTCCGGAAGAAAAACACGACAACGAGCATTGCCACCCAAAGCAAATGTATGAATCAACGACTTGAAAGGCGTGTCTTCGTTTCGCTTGTAGTCTCGACAACGAAACCAATAGTGCAACGAACGATTGGCAAAAGGCGATATCGATGTAACGTCGACCCTTGAAAACAATTCTTTTCGACTACTTGCTTTTGCAATATTATTTCTCAAATAAAATTCTTCACCATCTTGTTGATATCATACATGTGTTGTAAAAAATTATTCAAATATAATAGTTGTACCACTAAATATGACTTTCTGTTTTGCTATTTCGCCGTGCACGTTATAAAATTTAATAAAATTTAATAAAATTTACAACTCAACAAGCGGTAATCTCATTAAATATAACATTTTTTCGCAAGAAGAGAAAAACGCGATGTTTACAAAAATATTATACATCATAAATTCAAAGCTTCCTTT